CTGATCAAGTAAGTCATGATACGAGGTAAAGGATAACGAATTGTTCAACTGACAGTAGTTGATATAGAGTCTTATTGATTCGCGTATGAACAAAACAGGTATTCTCCCAAGGAGGAAACACTTGATCAGATGATTCTTTGTCAGGCAATCTTCATAATTGAGTTTTCAGTTTTGATGGAAACACATTCAATGCGGAGTTACGAATATTGGTCATTTCTAGGATCAAGATTGACAAAGATTTTAATTTCTCGGAGCGATGAGATATCAGGAAGTTCATATCAGAGAGGTAACATAATTTTGGTATGTTTCTTCAGCTCAGATCCTTCTTTCGCGTATCACAAGAATAGACTTCATGCTCCTTTTGGTTGAGAGGTTTGCGCACATAAATTCGAGATGAACTCGGTCAGTTTAGAAATTAGCTTTGCTTTCACCTATATAAGGTTTCCATCATCGATCTTTAGTTGAAGAATTCTTCGTCAAGAATTGTCAATACCAACATCGTTCGATCAGCCAATGTATACTAAGGAAAATTGTCAAATTCCTTGTATGGTATTTCAACGAAGTTTTGCAAGGAGCTGTCGCTTAACGAACGATTTCGATTCCTAAGATATAACCGCATATTTGCATTTTAATGAGTTAGACATCAGAATGGGATACCTTAGATAACAGAGTTTTATTGATTCTAAACGTTCTTGTTTAAATCAGAAATCCGATCGTCTTTAGCCCACATGAGGATCTTTGACAGCAGCTTTGCGGATGTTATTCAACATTGGACGTTTCTTCATAGTCGTCTCACTTTTATGCGACTTTGCGAGGCAGATCAGTTTCGTCATTTGCGATGCGATAAGTACCTTGATAACGTATCACGGAGTCATTATTTTTCATTCATTCTTGTGTCTCTTCACTGAGTATGAAAGTTCTAAGCTCGTTACGATTTCAGTACTAATCAATTATTATTCAATGAGAATTCTAACAGAGTAAATATTTAACAAGTAATTTCTCATACCTTTCCTGGAGCAGAGGGATGCGAGAGTCGGACTAAAGTATTAACTTGGTAATCGTAAAATTTAAAACATTTCAAATACTTTTATTCATCATAAATATTGTTTAATACATAACTGTAGCAAAATACGGAATGTTTAACAATAATG